AGTCAGTTCCACAGGTCCTTTTGCCTTATGTGACATCTATCATCCTCACATTCACTCACCCCTCCCTGTTCCTTGTTGGTTCTCCTTTCCTGCAGGGTATTACCTGGGCAGAAGCCGGTCTCCTGTGATGAGACCTGTCTGGGACTCTTCCACACACCCGTTACCCATAGGGCCCATCGACAGCCCCTTTCTTCCTGTGAGACCATCCTCCACACATACCCTGTATGGCCCATCCGCAGCCCCCATTATCCACTGTAGGACTTGTGACAGACCCAGACCAGTTGGGTACAGGAGTCTGGTAGAGGGCAAATATACTGGTTACTGGATGAGTAGTTTTCTGTTCCCTGAGTGACCAGAGCAGGGGCTGCACTAGCGTAATCAGGAACCTGCTAGAACCAGTTAAGGCAGGCAGGCTAATTAGGACACCTGGAGCCAATTAAGAAGAAGCTGCTAGAATCAATTAAGGCAGGCTAATCAGGGCACCTGGGTTTTAAAAAGGAGCTCACTTCAGTTTGTGGGGAGAGTGTGAGGAGCTGGAATCAAGAGGTGCAAGGAGCTGAGAGTGAGAGGGTGTGCTGCTGGAGGACTGAGGAGCACAAGTGTTATCAGACACCAGGAGGAAGGTCCTGTGGTGAGAATAAGGAAGGTGTTTGGAGGAGGCCATGAGGAAGTAGCCCAGGGAGTTGTAGCTATCATGCAGCTGTTACAGGAGGCACTATAGAAGCTGCAGTCCACAGGGCCCTGGGCTGGAACCCGGAGTAGAGGGCGGGCCCGGGTTCCTCCCAATTGACCTGGACTGTGGGTTCTTCCAGAGGGGAAGGTCTCTGGGCTGTTCCCCCAACTCACATGGTGAATCTCTGAGGCAAGAAAATTCGCCAATAAGCGTAGGACCCACCAAGATAGAGGAGGAACTTTGTCACAGGCTCATATACACCCCCCTGTGGCCCATCCACAGCTCCCCTGCCTTCCATAGGCCCATCCACACACACACACATACACACACCAATAGGACCAATCCACATCCCTTCTTAGGGCCCATGGGTTTATTTGTCTAGTGTGGCTAGACATCCATGTTCTAACCCAGGGGTTGGCAACCTTTCAGCAGTGGTGTGCCGAGTCTTCATGTATACACTCTAATTTAAGGCTTCGCATGCTGGTAATACATTTTAACGTTCTTAGAAGGTCTCTCTCTAAGTCTATACTATATAACCATACTACTGTTATATGTAAAGTAAACAAGGTTTTCAAAATGTTTCAGAAGCTTTATTTAAAATTAAATTAAAATGCAGATCTTATTAGTTTAGTGTGATCCTGGCCCTTGCTTTTCCTTGCTGAGCTTTCCAATGTCTGGTGGCACGTATTTGGATACTTTAAGCTGCACACAGGCTTCTGAGTGATCAGTTGATAACTGGCTGGCAGGAGGTCAGCGGCTGGAATCCCAGATCGGCAGCTGAGGTGAGTGGAGCTGGTGGCTGGTAGGGCTGAGCAGGGCCGGAGGCCTGGACCCTGTCTGGCAGGGGGCCTGCGCTGGAACTCCAACTGGAAGCAAGGGGAGTGGGGCTGCGGCGGGGATCCCGGCTGGCAAGGGGTCAGCAGCCGGAACCCCAGAGCGGCAGCGGGCTGAGCAGGTCAGTCTGCCCAGCTCTGAGGTTTCAGGGGTGGGCTGAGCATCTCCGCCAGCCCCCCTCTGGGGTTTCCACCACCGGCTCCTGCCAACTGGGGTCTCACCCCGCTGCCAGCCTGGGGTTCCTTCACCCAGGCCAGTAGCGGGTGCTGAGTGGGACTGGCAGAGGGACCCCGGCTGGCAAGGGGCCAGCAGCGGGAACCCCCAGAGCAGCGGTGGGCTGAGCGGCTCAGTCTGCCCCGCGTGCCATCAAAAATCGGCTTGCGTGCCACCTTTGGTACGCGTGCCGTAGGTTGTCGACCCCTGTTCTAGGCCTTTCGTTCAGTGTAAGACAATCCTCTGACCGGGGGGCTGGAACAATTTGTACAGTGGGGGTGCTGAAAGCCATTGAACCAAACTGTAAACCCTGGATATGATGGAAACCACTTTGAGTCAGGGGGTGAGGCAGCACCCCTAGTTGCATCATCTATGCTTCTGACCTGGCTCCACCACCCACACCATGTCCCAAACCGGCATCAGACGCCCCAGCCTGGTTGGCAGCGTGATATGGGGATGCCATAGTTGAGGAAGGGGCCTGGGAGTTGGGAACCTAAGTGTTGGAGACTGGAACACTTCTTAAGCTGTTTTCAGTTAAGCCTGCAGCTTTTGGGGGACGTTGTTCAGACCTGGGTCTGTGTTTGTAGCAGGCTAGCATGTCTGGCTCAAACCAGGCAGGGCACTGAAGTCTCAAGCTGCCAGGGAAAACTGGCTCAGAGGTAGTCTCAGCACATCAGGTGGCAGTTCCCAAGGGGGTTTCTGTGACCCAACCTGTCACAGCAGGTACATTTGGAATCAATTGGTTAATAAAAAGCCAGCTGTGTTAGTAAATGTCTCTCTCTCCTGGGAACAGCACATTGAACGCATGGAGTTTCAGGCAGTCGTTTAAGATATCCTGCAAACTGGGCCCCTTGTATCTATTTCCCCCCCCCATTAGCGCAATTCTGCCTGCCCCAGGCAGATACTTTGGAGAGCACTTCCCTGGTACCTTTCCAGGGCCACAGGGTCATTGAAACTGACTTGAACGAAGAGTTCGAAAAAGGGTGTGTGCATGAGGGCAAGGTTTGTCTCAGGGGTGGGTTTGGCAGCTGGGTGACAGGGTTCTCTTCCTTGTTTCTCCTTTCCTCACCCTTTCGGCTGATCAACCGAAATCTGGTTAACATGCATAGGAGGAGGCAATACCAAGCTCCTTGGGGAGTCACGCTCTTCAGTGGCATTATCTGTCTTCAGACACCGCTCAGCTTTATGTTCTCACGATGGCTTCTGGGTCTACACGCATCCCAATCAACTCTGAGCCCCGCTCTCTACCAGCTGACATCCAGATGGCAAACTGCATCTGCAAGGTGTACTCTGCCCATCAGTTCCGCTCCCCTGGGACTTACTCTACCTCGGAGGTGGTAATTTCCGCACCTAGTTACATACATCAAGTGACAACTAATATGAGGGGGAGCTCATTTGGGCTCCCTTTGTGCACCCCTGCCCCCTGATTTCTCCTGGCCAGAGAAGATACTTTATCGGAGGGTTTAATGGCAGAGGGACGGATTAGCCCATCTACTCAAGAGGCTCTCTGAAGAGAGAGACCAACAGCTGGTTTGGAGCCAGCAAGGGCCCTGCACCTCCTGGAGGCCTTCTTGTGATTTTAGCTGCTGATATTGCTGACTGGGGCAATGCCCTAGCATAGATGATAGACAGACATGCTGGATTAGTGCATACATGACTTGCTCTAGCACATTGGGGTAGCTACTCCCGTGCCCAGCACCCCACAGCGCTGGGTGGTGTAGGTAGGGGCAGAAGAGCCTGTGCAGAAAAGGTTCATTGTATTGGAAGCAAGGAGACCTTTTTCCCGTAATGCCCTGTACACAAGGAATTGCATAAATGACAGACCCTTCCCTTGTCTCTGGCCTGCACAGTTTGCAGGCACAGTAGCTGCTCTAACCCCAGTTTATCTTCACGGGTCAGTGCAGCTTAAACTAAAGTGCGTTCAATCTTCCCCTGAAGAGAGCTTATGGTTCTGTACTAGTCTGCAGACAGCATCCCTGGCACAATTTTAAATAGGGCCTGGCTCAAAGTCTCCTTCTCAGCTCATAAACTTGTTAATTAGCACTTAGTTCTATACTGAAAAACAATTACAATCAAGCACATGCCAAACAGTAATGAAGCCTGGGCAGCCTGGTGGCATGGGTAATTATTACACTCTCCATTTTACAGCTGCACGGAGAGAAGGGATTTGTCTGAGCCACACAGCTAGGCAGTAGCAGAGCCAGACATAGAGCCCTGGTTCTGTGCTCTAAACTGAACATGCCCTTTCCCCCCCCCCACTCAGGAACAAAAGTCAGGAGCTCCGCTCCCACGGCAGCTCATGCTGACAAGGTGCTGGCAACTGCGGGTGCTTTTATCACAGGTTGTCAAGCCCTGCGATCGACATGAGCAAACTTCAAGGTGACCTCTGCATTTGTTCAGGGCAGCACTGGCATCATCCCTGAGGGTGGGCAGGTGCTTTGGATTTCCCTGGCTAGGCTGAGAGGGTGCCCCACAGCCACCCTGCGGAACCTGGTTCAGACATACAGGCAGCAGTGCATGGAGCTGGCATGGCCAGCCAAAGAGCTTTCCTGAAGTGGGTGAATGGACACAGGCAAAACTGTCCCAATCCTCTGTGTCTAGAAGCATCACTCAGGCCTGACTGATATCTCCACCCCATGCCCTCCAGTGACTGGCACCCATCTCCCACCTATGCCTCCTCCTGTGTCCTGTATCCACCCCATCACCACGTACCCTGCCCCCATGTTCTGCAACCACCCCCACCTAATCCTGCATCTGCCCCCCATCACCAACCACCTCCAGTGCCCCACCCCATCTCCCCCACTGCCTATTCCCCCCATGTCCTGCACCCAGCCCCCCATCTACCTCACCCTTCAATGTCCTGC